ATATATATATATATATATATATATATATATATATATATATATATATATATATATAATATATATATATATAATATATATACATATATATACATATATATATATATATATATATATATATATATATATATATCTGACATTCGAAATGTCAGTTTTTTGTATGTGTCAACAAATAATCTTTAATAAATAGTTTGGAGATATCCTTATGTGTACAATTATTGTAATTATTGAACCTCTTAACTTATTTTCGTCTAGTAATTTCATTACAGAATGCATACAAATCCCATTTAACTTTAACAAGAATTCAAATTCTACTCTCCAATGACAGCATGCGCGAACACGACCGATTTTGTGATACGGGAAGAGCCTATCTTGTTATTCATAGTATCATGGTTCAATCCATCAAGAATTAGCAGAAACATCTACTTTACCTAGTTGTAGTGTCGATTCGTAAGTAACCCTTTTTACTTTTTTTTTATTTACTTACCGTAAAGTAAGTAAATAGAGGGTTCATGACCTTACATATTATTTGTTTATGGTCAAAATATTACCAATGTTTTACTCTTAAATAATAATAATAACAAATAATATCATTTGCAGAAAATACTTTAAGTTTTATCGTTATTTCTAGTAATAGCTGTCATTCTCAGTCAGTTGAGATTGCCTCTCCGCAAAAACCATCTTTTTCGGTAGAAGACAGAAGAATAGTGGACATAAACTTTTTCATTAAATCTATTCAAGGTTTGAATAATCATTCTCCATTTTCATGCAACTTTTCTAATATGGAGATTATCAAAGAAAAAATGGACGGATTGATAAGTACATTGACTTTTAAGTGTTAAATGAGGAATATTGAAAAGGAGATAGCAACATAGGATTCTGGTAACAATTCACTGAACTTGAATGGTTCTGGTTATTCAGACATACAGCAGCAGCACGCTGCATTAAATATACCTGTGATGTCCTACAAACAGTATGCAAAACATACGGAAATAGTTGCAGATATCATCAGCCAAACACTTTGTGATTCCTTAGAAGAGGCTGGACGGGAGGAATTAGCTTTAGCCAAAGAAATTGGTGAAGTAGATTCCGACGGAAATGGGTTAATAACCGTTATAGCTGATGGTGCTTGGTCAAAAAGATCGTATAAAGTAAACTATGATGCTTCTTCAGGTGTAGTACCTGACGTTGTAAAATTTATTAAATTAGTACGCCTTTGATGGATAGGACATGTAATTAGGCGAGATGAAGATGAAACGATCAGAAAAATTTTCGACCGAAGAGGACCAGTGGGAAAACGATCCAGAGGAAGACCAAAACTTAGGTATCAAGATAACATAGAGGATGATCTAAAATCCATCGGAGTTAAAGCATGGAGAAAGTTGCCAGAGGCAGGGGCGAATGGAAGATTGTTCTGAAGAAGCCTTTGGCTCATGACGAGCTGTAATGCCACTGATGATGATGAAATAACTATCCACGATTTGTATTTTATTCATCAATTGGATACTTTTCTTATGTAACTGCAACCTATAAATATATTAAAATAATGTATATTCCATTCAGAGAACTTTTTCCTCGCAGTGCGTCGCCTCGAAATACTTGCCAAATAAATACATTTACTATTATGATGGTTTCGCAGGTACCAATTTTTTATAGATAAATAAAAATATTTTTTGTTTAATTTTTACTACGCTAATATCAGTTTTCTCTAACAAATAAATAATTTATTGAAATAATTTTCAAGCTATAACTGCGAAATTGTTTATTTGTTTGTGACAACAAATTGTAATTTTTTTGATAATAATATTCGTATGTTCTTTTAAATTTATTATAAATAAACACCATGGTGTTTTTTGCAGTCACGTTTCACAAATTTTTATTTAATACTATGTTTAGCTAAGACATATAAATTAAAAATGTGATTAATTCTTTTTAAAACATTATCGACGATAATTAATAAAAAAAAAAGTATTCCGACAAAACTAATTTGAATGGAGAATAATGCATTTATCATTAAACAACCCGTCGGCCGGCGCCACTGAATAAACATCCAAACTTTTAAATTCGGTACGGCACGTACGGTCTGACATAAGCAAGTACATATTAGAAAAGTAAGTGATACGCCCACTTCAAATCGCAGTATGCTATAACTGCGAAAACAGCCTTAAGCAAAATTTTAATCATGTAGGTTTCGTTAAAAAATTACTTAAATGATACTTAGAATTCCATGTATTTAACATTTAAAACTGTTTAACTTCTTCTTCTTATTTTTTCTTCTTATTCTTCATCCTTCTTATATGTAGGCTTTAAATCCCGTTTCTTCTTCAATGTTGGTTTTCTAAATTGTTTAAATTATTACACCATCCTTTTCTTGCTCTACCAATAATTCTTCGTCCATATGGTGACATCTCCTGCTATTCATACTATCCTATCATCTGCCTAATGTGTTCGTTCCACTCCTGTTTCAGAAAGTCACTACACTAGAAAGTCTTCGAAAAGACTTTATTTAGATTGCCATCTTAATATTAAAAAAATGCACGACCTGTTCGTTACAAAGTGTAAAGAGGGCAATTTGCTAAGCTTAAGCCAGATAACTTATAGACGAATCTTTTGCAAGGAATTTAGTACATCATTTTTCAAACCTAAGAAAGACCAATTTTTGACCTGTAAGGAATACACAAAAGCATCGCAACAAGAAAAAGAGCTTATGGATGGAGCTTAATTATAGGAGTCATTTAGACAGAAAAGAGGCTGCAATGAAAGAAAAAAATTCAGACAAAGAAATATCGAAAAATAATAAAAAATTTAAATCAATTACATGTGATATGCAAAGCTTTTTACAAATTCCATCATCATCGCAAGTAAGTCTCTTGTATTATCTTAGAAAGCTGAACCTCTATAATTTTACAATTTATGAATCTGCTCCACGAAATGAGGCATTCTGTTATTTTTGAAAAGAAGTCAATGGTAAGCGTCGAAGCTGTGAAATTGGTACTTGCCTAGGAATGTACAATAATTCATTATCTCATATAGAACATCTAACGATTTTTTCAAATACGTGTGGAGGACAGAACAGAAATATTCAAGTATCTGCTCTGCTTTTACATATTGTTAAAAACCATCCGAGTCTTCGGATAGGTGAGCAAAAGTTCATGGGAACTGGACACTCCTATGTGGAAGTAGATTCCATGCATAGCGCTATTGAAAGTGCCAAAAAAATGTGGAGATTTTTAGTCTTCACGAATATGAAAATGTCTTTGGCCAGAAAAATGGTCTTTGAAAAATGGCCAGAATGGGCAACAATGGGAATAAAAAATGTTCCTATAATACTCGTGAAGTTAATTATAATGAATTCTTAGATTTGAAAAAACTTGCACAATATACTATTGTTAATAAGAAAGAGGATCAAAAAGGGCAATCGTTCAACTGGTTAAAGGTAAAGTGTTTTAAGAATGATAAACAGTTTCCTAACATTCTACAGTACAAGTATAATCATATGATAATTTCACGACGACTATGAAAATATTAACGTTAGATTTGTATGTCGTGCTTCTAACAGAACAGTCAAATCAGATAATAATAATATTTGGTTATTCCTTAATTATACTCAAAACAGCTTCCAATTTCGGATGCAAAGAAAAAATATTTGATAAAGCTCTGTGAAAAAAAAAAATAGTTCAGCAAGCGCTCCATACCAGGTTCAAAAATCTACCAGTTCTTCTTCTGTTTGAGACCAAACAGCGGAGTTAGCTGAAAAGGACTCTGACGAAGAAGATTTTGAAAATTAGAAGCATATTTTTTTTTGTTATACACGTTTTGTTTTGTTATACCTGTTTTTTTAATAATGTTCTTGTTTTGTTAAAATATACATGAAAAAATTAAAAACTTATATAAGCGAAAATTATTGTATTATTTACAATGTAAACGAAGCCTGCAATAATCGTATGACAGTAAGTAAATAAAAAAAAATACACGTAAGTCATACTTTCATAGCAAAATTAAACAAGTAAAACACACTAATTTAAATGCTACATGTAAAAAACATTAAGTCAACGTATTCAAATCGAAAATTAAACAAAAATTAATAATTTGGTAATATATAATTTACTTCTCCTCGTCAGTAATCATTATTAATACTTTATGAAAACTTTCGTATAATTACAAAACAACAAATAAAAGTTTTAAATGTGAAAATTGATCAAACTGTTTTTAAAAAAATTTAAAACACGATTATCTCAAAACTAGATTTTTTGACTTAGTGTGTTTCGCTTGTAAGCCGACGATATGTGTGTTAATCTTTGGAGCTCATCTTCTATCTCTGCGATTAATGCGGCGTTGTCTGCATAACATAATATTTTAATTTCTTTGTTCCCCATTATGTAACAATGCCCTTCACGTACCGCTTGTATTATTTCGGCGAATATTATATTAAAGAGAAATGGGCTTAACGAGTCACCCTGTCTGACCCCGCCTTGTATTGATATACACTGTGTTAGTTTTCTATTTATCGTTGCCTATATTCGATTATGTTGGTAGATATTTTCGATGGTTTGTATAATATGGATCGATATGAGTTTTTATATAGTAGGTGTAAGACGTCTTCGACTTGGATACGATCGAAAGTCTTTGTCAGGTCTATAAAACATAGATAAGCTGGTTTATTGTACTCGATGACCTTTTCTGTGATTTGTCTTAGTACAAATACGGCATCTACGCAGGATCTTCCAGATCTGAATCTTTGTTGTTCATCTGATAAAGTTGTTAGTTTATTGATTTTGTTTAACTGTTTAAAATGTTTAAACAATTAAAAACTATGTTGTGTATATATAAGATGGTGGCAGACACTTTACATAAATTACCACTGTAGAAAGCAGATATAAGTGCAATAGATTAGCACTATAAAAAGCACTGTATATATTCGGTTGTTTACCTATAGTTCTTTATTCTGTTTATTGTTTTTAAAACCAAAAAAGTGTTTACTTCTGTTTAAAATAAAGACTTACCTTTCATTTTCATCACAATTGGAATGCGAATCAGGAGCACTAACGGAAAGCGCTCTATCTACAAAACAAAAGAAATAAAAATGAATATTTAGATTTAAACTAGAGTTAAGTATATTAAAAGGAAATAACTACATGACATGACGCCATGCAGAATAAACGTTCTTATAACTTCGCTTTTGTTCTTCTTTGAAAGTTGCTTGAAACTCAAATTATTTACTTAACTTTACGTTTTTACAGTATAAAATTGTACAGTGTACCTCATTTATTTTAAGATGACAATCATAACAGAATTGGAACAGAAGGTTCGGATGTTGTTAAATAAAAACGTTAAAGAGAGACAGATACACTTCATCTAATTTACTTACCGATGCACGTCATCGGCGTCATAGCCCGTGACGTCACATGATACCAACACGAAATATTTAGGCGGTAGGTGTGTTCTTTTTTAGAATCACCTTACCGAGTACACTCGCATTACATCCACTAGACATATTTTATTATATACACGTAGAAATAATATTTAAAGATTTCTATTAATGTTAACTTAAAGAAATACACAATAATATGTTTCATTTAATTTGTATAAATGCATTATAAAGCATTTTGAGGTGAAATTTTGGCATAAATTGGTAACACGTATTTGATAGTTGCGGTGTTGACACTTTTTGTACTTTATTATTTTGAATTTTAAACTGAATACCTCTTGTATATATTTTTACCTATTTAATAACATGTTCTTTTTAGAATAAAATTAGTGTGTTTTATTTCAAAAATGTCACGTAAGAATTTAAATAGTCGTTGTAAAGAAATGGTAATGAATTTAGAACTGGCTATAAAAAGATATGGAATATTTTTTTGTAAAGAATGGAGATATAAAAGCAAAAATTTTAAAAAATTAAAAAACAGTAAAATGTAAACATTCAATTGTGTGATCATAATGTTGACCAGGCTCATAATAAGAATGAGGAATAACAATAAAGCAGTCCAATGGACGACTCAAAGGAAACATATAAGAGGAAAAGAAATATCAAATTAATATTGTATTATCAAATTAATGTATGTATTTTAATATACTAATATACCTGAAAATAAAAAACATCTAGAGAAAATAAAATTTATGGTAAATAGAAATAAAACGAAGAAAAAAGGGAAAGTTCTGAGGCTACGAGAATTTAAACAACATTAATTCTGAAGTCATATATACCGGATTTTTATGCGAGAATAAGGAAATAAAATGATATAGAGTACATACTGGATGTGAAAAAAACCGGAAATCACGGAGAAATTCTATGAAATTTATCTACACAAGAGATATGCAGAACAAGATATATCCATAAAATTACATTAGAGAAATTGTTACAAATTGTTGAAAAGAGTTACATAATAAATAAAATAAAAACAACTAAAGGATTACACACACGAAAAAAATAGTACAGATGAGAAATAGGTAATCATCAAAGACAGCATAAATAAGGAAACACAACAACAGAGGTTATGAGAAAAATCGAAGCTATAATTATTTGTTTGATAAATATTACAAAACCGCAAAAAAATATAATACAAAGAAGGAAAAAATATCTTTAAACTAAACATTATAATGATATGAAAAAATTAATAAAATTATGAAAATAAGGAAGCAGCCATGGAATGAGAAATAAAGTGGAAAATGACTAAATACCAGCAAGTTATATAATATTTTTAAATAAGACTAAAAGAAAAAAATATCTGTTAATCTTTAATACCATAAATAAAATACATATTTTTTCGCTTTATATGAAAAAAATAAAAGATGATAGAGTGTTAAATCCATAACAGCAAGAAAAAGTAAGGGTGTCTGTTTAAATATATATATATACATATATATATATATATATATATATATATATATATATATATATATATATATATATATTACGAACCATAAAATAGCTAAATAACGATTATTTGAAGAAGTAAATATGACAAAGGAATTGATCACAGGACTTATAGATCTCATACCAAAAGAAGGAGATACATCAAACTAAAATAAGTATAAAGGCATACTTTTACTTAACGTAATGTACAATGCTAATAGGAAAGCTTTAAGGACACGAAAAAATGATAATGGTCCATTACCAAAATGGACTTCGGATGGAAATATGAATTTTTTTTCTTTGATTTGAGAAATATGTTTTAGAAATATTGGAAAAACAATTTGGAACTATAAATTGATGTTTATAATAAGAGGTTTTTATGGAATTTAAAAAGGCCTTTGACTAAGGTAAAGAAGTTAATTATTGACAGGTTAAAATTTACGTAAAAGATAAAATTGCAAAAATGAGTACGACAATAAGATAATTAATTTACCTAAGATTTTTTTTTGTGTGTTTTGGCTTGGACAATTGTCATTCAGCCAGTCTCAATCAAGATAAGTTTATTAATGTAGTGTGTGTGTGTGTGTGTGTGTGTGTGTGTGTGTTTGTGTGTGTAGAGTAATTGTCTTGATACTTAGCAAAGTCGACGTCATTGTCTTTGCTAAGAGACGCTAATTGTATCCGAACGTCTGCGGTCCCTCCGGTGTTAAGATTTTATTGACAAATAAGAAAAATAAAGATAAAGAGATAAATGAAAAATGTATAAAGAATGTAAATAATTATATTTTAATAAAATAATATTCAAATATAAAAATAGAGACACTGTATAAGAAAGTAATAAGACCAACAATAATCTATACATCAGAAACAACGACATTGCCAATCCAATAAAAAGAACGGCTTAAAATTCGGGAAAAAAGACTGAAGGTGGGTGCAAAACAATAAAGATCGCGGATAAAGAAAGTAAATGAATAATAAAAATCGACAAAGTAGTGCAAAAATAAAACCTATAATAGACATATAATAATAATAAGACTTAGATGGTACAGGAATTAATATAGCAGGAATAAAGATGCGATGCTAAGATGTAGCAGATAACGGAATCCTGGTTATGAAAGAGGGTGAAAGGACCACGGTGTTAATAATAGAATTAACTGGAAGAAGACACAAATGAAATTAAAATAAAAAACTGAATGAAAATAAAAGCGGATAGAAAACAAATGATGAAATATTGTCTATCAGGTGAAAACAAACCACATTTCTTGTGAAATTTTAAGAAACTAAGGACTAATCCACCTTGTCAAATTGGATAGTAAAGAAATGTACCTAATATCTTATAAATACATAATGATTTGAAATAATTAAAATTAATGGGTAATAGGTAATTTCATCGTTAATAGTCCTAACTGTAAATATTTAAAAAAAAAATAACAAAAACTATAAAATTTCCTACCTGAAAGACTTTGTTTTGTATTATTCCGGACCAAAATAAAAGCATTCTTTGATTTTTTTATTAGTGCAGTTGTAACATCCATGATACATGATATCCGTGTCACTTGACAATATTTTTTTAATTAATTTTTACTACGTGATTCAAATCTGTACTTATATTATTATAATTGAATAACCAATAATACCTATATTTTATTTAATCTACCTACGCAATGTTATAATTTTATTACTTAAGCATACCTTTTTAAATTAGTTTTTGTGAAAAATGTATGTTAAGAAATTACCTATTGTTAAAATTTATTTACAAAATTTATTGCTTCCAAGTAAAAATAACCGATACTCATTTGGAAGTAAATATGTTACTACACGTGTGTATAAGTGCTTTTATATATCTTTTTTTTTTATTCAGTAAAATAATTTTATTTTATTGGTAGTATTTTGTCTACAATTTTGTATGTACTATTTGGTGGGGAATATTGTATGTTGTTTAGTATATAACATTTTGCCAATGATGAATCTTTACTTATAAATTTTATTGGAGTCTATAAATTGGAAACAGTGATCGTAGTTACCTACAACATATTCACCGACAAAATTAGTTGGTAAACAAACAATTATTGGTAAATATTTTTGAAGAGAATCTTCTATACTCGCGTTGTACTACTGTCTCTATTTAGCAAAATGCTGGGCCGTCACGGAAGTAGCGCCACGGCACGTCTTCACTAAAGTCGCGTCACAAAATAGTGGTTCGTGGTTCGCAGTCACAGTAAACAGTTAAAAAAGTCCATTTACGCTACGGCGGAGTACGTTATACAACAACTTTTCAATTTTATCAAAATCTATAAAAAATCATCAATTAGCATAATGTCCCCCTTAAAATTGTTCACCTATTTCTATCTTGAGTTTCTTGCATCCAATTTGTTGTGGCGCGCTTTATATCATCCATTCATCTAGGCGGTGGTCGTCCTCTGGTTCGATATGCCTGTTGTCTTCATAGTCTTGTTATTCCAGAATATTTCTTTTCTATGTATTAACCATCAATCTGACATGTCCGGCCTAAAACCCAGTTAGCCATGGCTACTCATTCAACTGCATCCGTGACTCCTGTTCTTCTTCTTATTTCTAGATTTGGTACTTTATCTCTGGTTGTAATACGTAACAATGATCTTTCCATAGTGTGTTATGTTAACTCTAATTTTATTTATTGTTTTTTTTTGTCAGAGTTAATGTTTCTGCACCATATGTAAGAACTAGTAAAACACATTAGTTTAAAACCTTTTTTTTTTAATGTGAAATATTAGACTTGAAAATGTTTTTTTTAATGTTAGTTTAATATAGCAAAGGCAAAGTTGTCAAATTATCAAGGTTTAAGTAAATCTCATGACTTAGATATGTGTAAACTATTAATTGGTGATGCATTGGCTTTCAATCTGAATTTTATCGCTAACTACGATACGAAAAATTCTTTCGGTTTATATTAATTCCCATATTATCATCTCTTTTTATTTGCTTGTAATAATAAAATTATTTTTAATTCCAATTTTAATTCCCTTTCAATTTCAATTTTAAAAATAATATTTAAATTTTAAAAATACATAAAACGTAGTATAAAGTTTCGTTCTATTCTACAGTACCCCCTACTGTACCACCTTTTTATATAGGGTATCCGTAAACGTTACTTATGGGTTGTTACTCACAAAATTACTTCTAAAAAGGGCCCTTTTAAAGATACAACAAACAAACTTTTATTAAT